GTCATATTCAATGCAACAACCCCCATCAGTAACAACAATGTATTAAAAAATACTTTGATATCTAACTGCAGATTTTGCAAAGGAAGAACATATAAAAGCAACCAAAGAGAAGTACTATGTTCCAAAGCTTTGTAAGTAGTGCCTAGTATGATAAGTAAAAATGACCTCACTTAGAAATAATGGTCTTGTGTTTCCATAAATCAACAAAAGAAATTACGCTTTTCTGAAGAAAGCACTGGCTTTTATATAATGCATACCAGAAACTCATTTCCAATTGTTTATATAAAAGTTATAACAGATTTATGTGCCAAAAAATAAAAACACCTCCATTTCAAGAGACTTAAAAACAGTATTACAGTTTTAGTTCAGTTCTTCACCCAGATCTGTAGGCCACTGGTGTTGTTATTGTGCCATCAAGTCATCTCCAACTCAAAACCACCCCATGTACCATGAAAGAATGACTTAGGTCTTATACCACCTTTTCATCTGTCGCTGTGTTTGACTCCGTCATTGCAACCACCACGGTGTCAGCCATTTCACAAAGGCCTTCCTCTACTTCCTTGTCCACTGCTTTCCCAAACAGGGAGAGGTTAAGTAGCCTCGTCCTTTGGGAGTCATACTGCTAACTTAGGTAATGCCTCTCTGCCAGTGGGAATCCACCAATTGCTCTGAGAGTGAAAGAAGGGCAGTCTCCTATGTGTCAGAAAATGCCCTCGAGGGTCCACTATGAGTCAGTTCTGACTCAATAGTAATGGAATCTTCAGAGTTACCTTGAGTTCTCTCTCCAGAGACTGTCTCCTCCAGATAACATGGCCAAAGTACAGGAGATGAAGTAACACCATCCTCACTTCTAAAGGACACTTTGGCTGAACTCCTTTCAAGACAGATTTCTCGAATACTTTGGCAGCAGCCTATATACATTCACTGTCCCATACCACTGGCTCAGCTACCCTGAGCATCCGAATGGCAGAGGTAGCACCAAAGGAAAAAAGTGAAGGACAGCAGAGGTGGCAACATCCTTCCCATAAAGCAGGTATTACTATAGTAGTATTTAAAAACAAACAAACAAAAAAAAAAAAACCAAACAAAAAACAATGTCTACATTTCCGCTTCACAGCAAAGCTATGCTAAAAATCACTCAAAAGAAAATCCACTGAGTTAGAAATTATTCCTTATTTACATAGCAAGGATTTTACTTGGTAGGATTTTTTCTTTCAATATCACTTTTTAAAAGTGTGAGCCATTAACAGTTTAAGAAACTTTTAACTAAAAGTTACAAAATACATACAAATTAAAACTTAAGTAACTTTTAGCACAGTGTAAACTTGCTTACAGAAATGAAAACATTTACACATTTAAAACCATTTCTATTTAATATTTGAAAGTTCTAAAGTACCTAAAAGCATTAATCCTTTCCATAAAACTACGATTAGAATACCAATTTGTTACAAGCATATAAGACATGGATGAGGTTTTTAATGATCATTTCCACTTGAAAAATTTCTAATTCAATTCTACCTCAAGAAGAACTATTTTGAAAAAAAAATATTTCTCCACTAATTGAATCTTAAATAAATTTTGTTTTGGTATATGGAGTGTACTTTTTTCAGTAAATTGGAAGCAACGAATTCTGACTCACCAGCAGGCAAAGAAGTTTTAGTGGAAAGATACTAGCAGAGTTCATTCAGTACAAAACTAGGTGGACACTTGACTCCTTGCAAGGACAGAAGCAGAAGATGCTCAGGGCTCACAGAGAACGTGATGGACCTTCTGTCTCCCACTCATCTCTGAGGACAATTCAGGGCAGTTTGGGGACATCTTCAGTATTCTGGGAAATAGGGTTTAGTTAGTCAGCCTGGGCTTAAGAACTGTCTATCATTGGCTCCATTATCTTTAGTTAAAAGGACAGGAAGGGCAGTATGTTTTCAAAGTCTAAGGAAATCCTTATCAGTTAAATAGAAAGTCTATTTCTGCTTAGCATCCCGCAATGTAATGTTATGAAACCAGGCAAAGACCCAAAAGCTTCAACTAGCCAAAAGATAGCCCCAATCCAGTAGCCAAAAAGGAATTTACACTCAGAATAGCAGTTATCACAGAGTCCATAAACATTATCCGTCAGGAAAATTATAACCCCCCTGTCATGTTTATATCCAGGAATGGTGAGAGAGGGACAAAATAAGACGTAAATAAAACAAGTAATTTTGGTTTACTCCCTCCTGGCCATGCCATAGGACTGGTTTGTTTGGGTTTTTGGGCCTCCCCCACCCCACCTCTTTTCTTCTCCTTGAAGTGGAGGATGTGATCATGTCACTAGGTTTGGCTAATGAATTGTGAGTAAAATTTCCATGTGTCACTTCTGGCTGAGTTTAATGAGCTTTCAAAGTTCTTTTCCCTCTGGTCCAGCAATTGGCATAATCTGCAGCGGTGGCTCTTCCTCTGGCCTACATTCTGAATGAGCAGAATCCCCCTGATCACTTAGAATAGATATAAAGCATAATCAGGAAAGAAATCAGTGTTATTTAAAAAAAAGAAAGAAATGTATTTGTTAACAGGAATCTCAATTCAATATGCATTGACATGGTTATCAGTTATCCTCAAACTCCAGCTTTTAACTGGAGGAAGAAACAAAACAATATTCGATCTCTTGCCTCAACAGTTGAATGGGAAAATCTTACTAATCTCAAATGAAACCATGAAGCTTTAAAATTTGCTTATTTCAGTCCAATTGAGTCTTATTAGCACCAATGTCTCTGATCAGGGTTCAAGAACCACCCCTAGTATGTGCTTGCAAGCATATAAAGAGATGCTTCCTTCTAATACACCTTACTATTGAATTCTGCAATCTCTTTACTAGGACCAGCCAGCTGTCAATTATATTGTAAGCATTTTCAGTTTATAAATCTAAATCAAAGAACCTTTAGGATCATTCAAGGACTTAATGTAAATCCTGCTTACAACTGGTTATCTTCAATCTGAAAGTGAATGTGAAGGCAGGGAAACTAGCAGAGAGTGGCCAGGTTCAGGGTTTGGCAAGTTGCCTATTTGTGAGTGGAGAAAGGTGTGTGAGGGAAAACGAAGTCATGAAAATGTGCACATGGTGTGTCCACTGTGAAACGGATTGAGTGGGAGACTTACTAGAAAGAACAAATTAGTTCTTCATGGGAATAAGGCCATACTGCTTCTACAGTGGCAATTCAGAGAAAAGTAAGGAGAAAGTGAGATTTCCAAAATTAATTTCAACCAAGATCTCTCTGGCTTCAAAACTCAAATCCTTTCTGTTCTTCAAGACTGCTCCCTTTATGGGGAGTGACTCAAAATAGATTCTAAGAATTTTCGTTCCCCACAAAGACCTCTCTTTTGTCTGTTATGTTTTTGTCAAAAAGTCAGAGAATGTGACAAGAACACTTGTAATTAAGCAGGATGGACTAAGTATATGTTTCCATGTGTGCACAACTTATAGTTTGTTCTGTAAATTAGTATGTGAGTCAACTTTTCTAGTTGGTTCATTTCTTTGAAAATGACTTCATAAGTTGATATTCTGGGAATGCAAATACAGAAGACATCGTTTCTGTGTGCAAGAATCTTAAAATAGAGAAGAAAAGGCAAATAAGTAAAAATAGTACTTGGAGGAACACAGAAGAGGTTTCTTAGTGTGCACTGAACCAGAAACACTCAGTAATGGTTTGAATTAGTTACTGTAGTTCAGTGGATCGTTGTAAAACCCACTGCAGCGCCACGATCCATATCAGAGTCTGAGAGACTGAAAACAAGGGAGTTCACACAGGGGGCTCTCCAAAGCACCTCCCGACTGCAATCCGTTAAACTGATCAATGATCTCCTCCAACTAGAGTATTGGCAATGAAAAGCATAGAAAATACTCCTCATAATTAAATAAAACAGAAAAAGGTGCACAGTGCTTCCTTAACAGAAAGTATTCTTGTGCCAATTACATCTTCCACTGTCTTTTCAATCATATCCAGTTTCTCTGTTTGAGGATATCTCCTTTCCTTCCCTCCCCAAAAGACCAAAGTGAAACAACAAAAGTATCATGTAAGCTTTCTGAAAGCAAATATTGAAAACATACTTGAAATACCGATACCATCTCACTAAGCACAACTTTGAGGAAGTAGCTTCCATTTTAAAAATAAGCACTTTTGTGATACACAGTTAACTAGGAAGTTTTCAGCTCAAGTTCAGCTTTCCAAGGGCTACATTATATTACTTATTTGAAAGAAGCATGACGAAAACTATTTCTGTGTCTTCCGGATGGATTGACACAGTGTCTGCACCAATGGATTCAAGCACAAAAGCAATTCTGAGGACAGCATGACACTGGGCAATGTTTTGTTCAGCCGTCCATACCCCGACACCTAATAACAACAATATGTGCATGTAAGGCAGATAGGACGTCTTTATAAAGAATCTAGCTTGAAGTGCCTTTTAGCTACAAGAATGCCGAAGATAATTAAACTTGTTTCCCATAGTAATAGGAAGACATTCATGCAACTTTCAAGGCTAATTCCAAAGTATTTTTTTATAAAGCATTTCTACCAAGTTTCTGCAAGCTACATGCAAAATTTCTTTGTT